GTTTCGGAATCCCCAAGAATGTGGTAGAGGTGGATGGAGAATTAGTGGTGGCCGGGAATCCATTTGATGGTACATTACTAGTTGAACGTGACGGTCAACTGTTGGTCAGAAAGGGAGGTTGGACATGTGGTAGGTGCTTGACGGCACACGAACACGGATACTGTCGTCTCCCCAGCGCTCGAATCGGTGGGAACAAGTGGTTCTTTCTGCCGACGGAGGCTACGGCATGCCCGGGCTGCGATGCTCCGATTGCGAAACGGGGGCGACAGCTGGATGCACAGTCCATGGTTAAAGCCTTCCGAACACACTTTAACGATTCCCCTGCGTGTTTGGACCGGTGTATGGACCTGCATTGGGTACAGGTTTGCGACGGATGGGATAATTTGGAATGGGCGGAGCAAGTAGCGCAGGTGTTGGCTTGGGCTAGAGGATATGAGTTGGTTAAAGGACCCCAATGTGTTTTTTGTGGTGGCACATTTGTTGATATTTCGGGTCACTGGAGGAACACGGTACGGTGTTGGAACAGATTGTATATTTCATTTGTTGAATATGTGGAGGAGGTGCGAGATGAAATTGCTGATGGTGGTGTTTGTGATGGATAGGATTTGCGAGACAGAAAGACGCGTTAATCCGGGAGATCGTTTACGGTCTGAGCGCCCGTGAGCCTGTTGGTAGTGATTTTTGGATTTATGTTTGGATGGAGGGTTGCGGGATGTTTTGACATGGTAGTGATTTTGTTATGATTTATGGGTTACGAGGGATGTTAGCTAGATCATAAGCCATGTTTTGGCGCGACTAGGATAAATAAACTTAGATTCAATTCGGACACCTGTACCTAGGAATTACACTCTCTTCTACTTCGCGTCCTCTGGAACCTCTGAACCCTGACCCTGAACCCCTGAAACCTGCTCCTCGTACAACTCACTTCGGTTGTACCCCTTGCCCCTAGACCTCGCCTCCAAACTCTTGCCTGTCCCTGTGTGGTGTGCCTTGGGCTACCAGACTCTCAGACCCTGTCTGTTACAGTTTGAAAGCCAGAAACAGAGAAGGAGAAGTGAAGGCAGTAGAGGAAATAAAAATCTACAATGCACATTGTATGATGGAAGAACAGGTGTTAAATGATTCTAGGAGGGTGAGTATTGAGTGGAGAGAATTAAAGAAGAAGCAATTGAAAGTACTATGAGAGGCAAGAGTGGTTGGATAAAGAATTGGTATTAAGATAAAGACTAAACAGTTATAGCACTGGCAGGAGAAGAAGTTCAAGGTAAAGCCCCTAAAAAGAGATGACCCTCATGGTTTAGACTTATAGAGATCTGTTATAACTCTTGTTCAACCTTATTTTTGGCCTACGTGTAAGGAGGACTTAGAGTACAGTACAATCCTGGCTTTCCTCTTATAGAAGATAATACCCTTGCCAATTTCCCTGACTTTACTACTCTGGAAATAATTAAAGCCAGTATACAAAAGGTGGAATGGCCTCCCAATTCACCAGATTTTAATCCTATAGAACATTTATAAGAGTTGCTAAAGTCATGAAGACAAACTTGCAAGAGACATAAGTGTATTACTGTCATGGCTACCCAGTCATGGAGATGGAATATGCATGGGGCTTTGATTGCGTCTATTGGTTGAGATTTTTCTAGTTGCCATATGAAGGGTTTCCTTTGTGTTATGATTGGAACTTGTTGCCACACAATGGAACTAGGTGAAAAATAGTCAAGACATGGCGGTTGTGCACAACACTAAGAGTTTTCTTTTGTATTAGTGATCAGGGAGGATTTCTTTCTATATAAAGTGGTGTGTCCCCTTATATTTTATATTCTTTATGTATGGTTCATGCCATTCAAAACCTGCACCAGAAATTCCACAACTTTTAAATCGACAAGGCTTTACAACTAGCAGCATTATGGGAAAAAAAAAACCTCAGTGTTGAAGAGAACTTGATGGAGAATAACCATGAGGTTTTCTTTTATTTTTTTTGTTTCTGGTTGAAGATCCTTGTAAATTTGAAAAGTGGTACTTTTGGTGAGAAAGAGAGAAAAATGTTACATCAGCCACAGTTTGATTTCTTAGTAATTAGAGATTCATTATTCAGGAAATAGGGTTTTAGCTTAAAAAGATCATATTATGTACTGAAAAGAGTAAATATAACCTGTAACCTATAAGCAATATTATCAACCCTAATGACAACAACTATTATTTCTCTAGTATATATAATAAAACAGTAGAGAGTTGGATTAATGTATAATAATATATTTCAAAAGATTATTGTATATATTTGTTAATATTTTAACATTTCTCTTCTCTTGTTATTTTTATTATAACCTCATATTATTTATCTTTAAATCTATTTAAAATATATTATTATTTAAACCCTTGACCATAATTCCATGGAAAATTCAAGGCTTGGCATCAAA